AAACAGTCAAAGCAACAGTATTTACAGTATCAGTGAAATGTGGGGTTTTGTGTACATATGGAAAAGTGGCAATTTTTTTATTCAGTCAGAAAACCAAGGAAAAATGAAACATTCCTCTGAAACACTGTTTCCAGAACATCCCTTCATATTTGTTTAATGTACATTCTGTTTTGCCAGGTTGCAAATTAAGACAGATTTTCTTGGTATTTTAAAGGCTTGTAATTCACTTTGACAATGAATTTACTTTGATAAAAAGTTAGCTTGGCTAAAGAAATGTAATAATAACTTCATCTTTTAAGGTATAAAAATACTTTTCACGAGTGCATGTATTTTCTGAGAATGAGAGTCATAAAATGCAGCTGTTTTACCCGATAATGTATATTCAGTTCCCTTAATATTATCAATGGTCTCCCAGCATCTCTCATCCTTCACACGTGGAAGCCCATCAAAATTCGTCTTCCTATATTCCAGTATAAAATGGTCTATCTTATTATCTTCTTCGGGCATTCTCCATGCTACCGTTACTGTGTTGTCAGCCACCAAACACTCTACTGGATCTATCTCTGGAGCTTTGGGAACTGGAAAAAACAAAGAAACAAAAAATCTCATTTAACACTAATCAAATATTTATGTTTGCCATTCAAACTATGCCTTTTCATTCTGCTTTTGAACTGTTACAGTGAACCAGGTTAAGAGAAGAGGCACCCAAAATACCTATTTTCTTTAAAAACAAAGCACCTTTAAATACTAAACTATAAAAAATTCAGGTCTCAAAGTTTTTTCGTAGACTTATTAAATGCTAACTAAAATTCTAGTTGACAAAAAGCAAATTCCCACATGCTAAGGATAAAAAGATCAATCAAGAATTACTTGTTACTTCTGAACACATTATACTTTTAATCTGCTGTGCCAGACAGGTATGGTATGTATATAAATTAAATTACTATTGATAAAATAGGATAAACTGCTTTAAATAAAATGATTAAAATAATTTAAAATGGCATTTTAATTGTACTTTTAAAACCTGTCTTTAAAAGAATTATAATTTCTCAGTACTAAACAAAAACGAACGTCACACCCCTCAGAAATACTGTAGTGCTGTGATTAGTTGCTCCTGACTGCCCCCATGTCAGGGTGGCCCGATGCACAATGGGATGGAATGCTGCCCGGTCCTGTGCCATCCCCATGACTGGTGGCAGATGTGACTGCTGTGACCTACAGGGCTTTCTCCACTGGCTGATTTCTGGAAACAGATCACCAAGCCTTTCTTCCTAGTCTTAGCCTGAAAGCTCTGCTGAAACCTGTTAAGCATCACAGTCCTGGGTGCACAGGGGTGTATGTCTCTCACCATGTCCCTAGGGACTAATGGACATAACAGCTCTCATGGACACTAAGTATGTGCCTCAGTGGGAGACGACTGTCCTCTGAAGAAGCCAAGAACTCGGTTAAGCTATCTTAGGGGGGAAAGGAAAGGAATGCTCCTGATGCCAGTAAACCCAGAGTGTCACTGGGAGATGGTCAGGCAGCCTACACAAGGCCGAGGAATAAAGTCCATTACTCTCTTTGACCTTTCACTCCATCCTCGCCCTATCTGATCTCTGTACACGCAGACATGGCTTCCCTGTAATGTATATTCATCCGGCCAGAGAGGGGCTCTGGTGGTCCTCTCCCATGGTGCAAAACGGGGCATGCCTGGACATGATCCTAAGACCACACCCTGGGATGGGAGCTTAACTTGGGGAACCTCGGCTGAGGAGGCTGTTTGCTATTCCACTTCTCCCTATCTTGTTTATTCTGTGAGGGATTAATGCCTGCTGGCCATGCCTTTAGAACAGTTTAGAACAATTTATATTGAAAAACAAAAGACTAAGAATACCTAACATGATATTGAAGAACACAAAAGACTGACATTGTCTGGCTTGAAGACTTGCTATAAACTTAACAGGGAACAAGAATCATGGAACCTGTCACCTATTAGAATAAAACCAAAACAAAATAAAATCAGAAGAGAGAGTCTACAATGGCATAAGTATTAATGCTGTTGTTGCTGTTACGTGATGTTGAGTCAGTCCTGACTCATAGTGACCTTCTGTACAACAAAACAAAACACTGCCCAGTCCTGCGCCATTGTCACAATTGTTGCTATGCCTGAGCCCATCGTCGCAGCCACTGTGTCTAGCCATACTGTCGGGGGTCTTCCCCTTTTTTTGCTGACCCTCTGCTTTACCAAGCAAGATATTCTTCTCCAGGGACTGGACCCTTCCAACGACACGACCAAAGTAGGTGAGACGAAATCTGGCCACTCACATTACTAAGGAGCATTCTGGCTGTACCTCTTCCAAGACACATTTGGTCCATCTTCTGGCAGTCCATGGTATTTTCAATATTCTTCGCCAACACCACAATTTAAATGCATCAATTCTTCTTCAGTCTTTTTTATTCACTGTCCAGTTTTCACGTGGGTATGAGGTTACTGAAAATACCATGGCTTGGGTCAGGCACATCTTTGCTCTTTAACACTTTAAAGAGGTCTTTTGCAGACCTGCCCAGTGCAATATGTTGATTTCTTGATGGCTGCGTCAATAGGTGTTGACTGTGGAGCCAAGTAAAACGAAATCCTTGACAACTTCAACCTTTTCTCCATTTACTGTGATGTTGCATACTGATCCAGTTGTGAGAATTTTACTTGTCTTTATGTTGAGGTGTAATCCGTATTGAAGACTGTAGCCTTTAATCTTCATCAGTTAAGTGCCTCAAGTCATCTTCACTTTCAGCAAGCAAAGCTATGTCTTCTGCATATCACAGGCTGTTTACGTGTCTTCCTTCAGTCTGAAGCCATGTTCTTCTTCATATAGCTTAGCCTCTGAGCTTGTTTGCTCAACATATCGACTGTGTAAGAATGATGAAAGGATATAATTCTGACACACACCTTTCCTGATTTTAAACAATGCAGCATCCCCTTGTTCTGTTCAAACAACAGCCTCTTGGTCTATGTACAGGTTCCTCATGAGCACAATGAAATGTTCTGGAATTTCTATTCTTCGCAATGTTATCCATAATTTGTTAGGATCTACAAAATGGAATGCCTTTGTACAGTCAGTAAGACACAGGTAAACATATTTCTAATATTCTTTGCTTTCAGCTAAGATCCATCTGAAGCAGCAATGATTCTTCTGAATCCAGCTTGACGTTTTGGCTGTTCCTGTAAATATAATGTCGCAACTTTTTTTTTTTTTTTTCTTACTATGATTTGGGTTTTTACAGAGTGTGGTGTAGTAAACTACTTA